GAGAGAGTCCTCTGATGATTGAAATGGCATTTGTTCTAAGTTTGTGTGTGTGGGGGGGGGGGTTCCTGGTCAAATTTCTAGTAGAAGAGGAGGCTGGAGAAAGGGAGGACAAGAGGATTTCTGAGAGAAGCCAGAAAATACTGAAACATTTGAAAAATGGAAGAGTCAAGGAAGAGTAGGTATCAATTCATTTGGTCTGATGGCAGAGCAAACATATATCAGTAGGAAATATGGCATACTGTTGATTATCAAAGGACCCACGTATTAATTCTAAAATATGCACCCTTCACTGCACTTTTCCACAAGCAAAATTTTATTATTAAAAATTACTTAACAATAATAAATTATTTAAAATAATAGTACATTATTTTAAATAATTTATTTAAAATTACTGTTAAACAAATACATTATTTAACAGTAATATATTATTTTAGCTCAGGGGAACCACACAAATCAATAGCACAAAGTGAGGCCAGCCTTTGAAACTCACCTAGATAAATGTCTGAAGCATGTATATATACAAAAATGATACAAATAAACCTGATACTTTGGTCAACTGAATTGGTAGGCACAAGAAGACCTACACCTGCCTAAATTGTATGGATCAGGACAATCTGATGAAATCCTTGTTTTGCCTTTTGGCCCAAAGGTCCAGTAAAATCAAATCAAATCTGTGTTTAAAATGTGAGATGGAGTGTTAGAAAAGCTGTCCCAAACAAATACAATTTGCAGGATTTCTAGAAGACCCTCAGATTCATGCTTTGGTGAATATGAGGAAGAAGGGAGTTTGCAACTGATGGAGAATTATTGTACAGTGGCAAGGGAGAATCTAGACAATGTATATATGCCACCTGAGCATTCCTCTTTTGGGGATGTTACATATATTCTATGATATGGAAAAATCATAGGAGGCCCATGGGACAATTTACTCTTCTAAAGTAGTCTGCATACAAACAAGTTGAATTCACACAAGTCTGCACTATATACACATATGGACACAAAAGTAACCAAGTGTTGGAGATCTGAATTCACCAGGAGCTTTTGTTAGAGGATGTGTCCTGAACCTAAGCAGAATGCTGAGTAATTAAATACCAGAACATGTTATTTAAAAAGTGAAATACTCATAATATGGTTGCCTTGGATGCAGAGTATAGGCTTAACCTAGCTATCAATGAATGCTGATTGACATTCGTTATTTTGAAGTAAATGGTAGATTAATTAAATACATAAAATTATATCTTGAAGCGAGAGAAAGACATGGGGGGAGGCGGGGGAGAGAGAGAAAGTTCCTTCAGTTCTTAAAACACCCTTCCCTTATTTGTTTCTTGCCATTTGCCCTAGTGTTCAAAAGGCTTGTAAGCAAAGAAATTATACATTCTCTAACACCCCTTCTCATCATCTTGGGCACCTACTCACAACTCCCATCTTCTCTCAAAGCATCTGGAACTCCAGATCTTGGGCCAGTGGTTTGGTCCGCATGCCCACCATCATTTCTTCTGTGGAACATTACTGCACACTGTTAAGCCCTTCCTGTTGCACATCCTGCACATAGTGCTATGTGGTGTGTCCATTTGGTTTACTCTTGAATTAATCTTTGCTTTCTGTGACAGCTGAATGCACTTTTATTGTCTTCAAATATTACTATAGACTTGCTATCTCCCAGGTCCTTTAGCAATTTGTGACTGCCTTCACTAGGTGAATGTACCCAGCCTCAATGGAGGACAGTACTACGGTAACATGCTTCCTGCTGGCTCCACCACCCTGGAGGAACAGATGCTTGCTTCTAGATGTACAATCACCTCTATCTTTTGTCCAATCTGCATTCATGTATCCAGTTAGTTCAGGGGTGCAGCTTTCCAGCAGCTTAAACTTTAAATCAATAGTGTCTTTTGTGCATCAGGTAGTTCCACAAGTTGCCAGGTGTCACTTTTGTAAAGAGAGTATCTCTTTCTTTGCTGTTTCTTTCCACTTCTCAGCTTCATCTGAGCTGGCAGCCTTTGGATCTCTCTCCATGTCTCTGATTTCTGCATCCTTTTTCTTTTGGCCATGAATGAGAGCCTGACTATGGGATCCCTCTGTGAATGCCTTAACTGTGACTCAGGCTCAGCTGTTGCGTATTGCAAATTCTTTGCTGCAGCCTGTACCACCTCACTCGGAGCTTGTAAGCCCTCTTCTGAAGCTAGCTTTAATACTGGTTTGAAACTAGAGGCAGGAAATAGCTGTGGTTGTGTTGCCTGCTTGTGGTTATTGAGTTCAGAGCCTGATTGTTTTATTGCGAGTTGGCTAAACTCTCTCATTTGTGTGTTTTGGGGAAGAGATTGTGGGTCTGATCACCATCTTGTGTGTGCGACTGGCAGCACCACTGTCAAGGCAAAACTTTCACACCATAGAGAATGGTTTCCACTGGCCAATACTTTTCAAGCAACAGTTCCTACTAGCTTTGAAGTAGGAAAGCTTTGCAATGTATGCCTGAACTAGAAAATAGTGGGGAACCTGCAGATCGCTTTGCTACAAATATAAGCAAAAGTGCCCAATGTCTTTGTCCTGTTCCCATAAATGTACCCAATCTGAATATCAGATGTATGTTTGGACATGATTGACTAAAGAAGAGATATAAATTAGTTGATGTATCTCAATACTGACAATTCCAGCATGCCATCCACCATTGATACAAAGACAATACTGGGATAATATTACTGCAGTATGCTAGATACTACACACTGACAGGAATACTGGACGCTGTACTAAAACAAGGCAAAGCAACAGGACTACTCTGCGGGAAGCTGACATAAATTCTTCCTCACTGCCCTGAGAGGCTACAACAGCTGATTCTGGAATAGAAGCCACCCCAGATAATAAGAACAGTATCTGGGAAATCCCATACTATCATTTTTAACTGTGTAGCCAAATTTTCTACACCTTTTGAGGAACTTACAGGTTTCGAGTTATGGGGAAGGGAAATATGAATATCAATACAGATCAGTGGTCTAGAAAATAGACCCTGAATTTGAACAGTTTGTATATTACATCTAGATGATAGGGTTACAGTACCAAAGAACAGGACACATTGAGTTCTACTGACACCACAATAGCCAGGCTACAACTGGGCTTGGCTTTGCAACTTGAGTTCTCTACTGCAGTAACATGCCTCATTCCTGGTAAATCCAAAACAGTTGCATACAGCCATGTTTATTATAAACAGAATGGCTATTTCAAATTTTACAAAATCCTTGTTGTATAATTTGTTCATCCAACCTGCTATATTTCAGGACAATACTCTTTAGTAGAAAAGAATTTCATTTTTCAAATCCACAAAGATATTTCTATTGCCAGGGAGAGGGTGTTCATAGATGGAGACCTCACTATCTCCTAATTCCTCTGAGGCCAAAAGTCAAAAGCCAAATTTCCCCGCCTACTTTTTGTAATCATTTTTGTACATATTACTCATTTTTGGAGATTATATAGGAAGCTCAGCCTCAGATTAAATATATATTATTTTCTAAAGATCTTTTTTCCTTTTTTCTTCAATTTATTTATTTTTCCTGAAACAAGATGGTAGTATATTCTGATTTAAAAAAAAAAAAAACACTAATGAGATCAGGTTGCTATCTGAAATCAGGATATTTCTTCAAGTCTGCCATAATTGGAACTAAGTATAGTACATTAACAGTTGCTTCCTGAATTCATCATACTCATTCCAGCTCTTTAACTTTGAAGTGTGTACTGTCAGCCCTATTTGGGTTGATTGCAGTATTAAACTTTGTCTGACATGAAATGTCACATTTTCTTCTAAAAGAAGCTGTTTTTAGATTATTTTAAAATTATTCTTCTGAGAGCAGCTCCAGCTTGGACACAAGATCTTCCAGTCACCCAAATATGCTTTCTACTGTTGCTTCAGTGGTGATACCAATAGGCTGAGGGTTTTTTGTTTTTGTTTTCCTTTTTCAGGTAGGGAGGTTAGAGAGTAACTAATTTCCTGTACATTTCACTTTTCCCCTTTAGGCTTCTTATCTTCCTATATGTTATCTGCCTCTCCACAATTCTTTAGTATATTCAGTGGGAATTCACTACTACTTCAAATCTGTTTTTAGTTACTATTGCTCTCTCTTCTGTATTTATGTGGTTCTTTTTACCTTCACAAGGAAATACTCCATCTGTTCTGTTCTGTTCTGTTCTGTTCTGTTCTGTTCTGTTTTTGGTGTAAGCCTGTTTGATTTGACTTTCTTCCACTTATATTTCTTATATGGCATTTCTCCAGATTCTAAATTAACAGATGTTTTCTGAAAGTTGAGTAAGTATTTCTCCACAATAATCAGATGCTGAGAACACACAGGTAGGAGCTATAAATCTGAGTCTTTCCAGGCTCTTATCTTATGCAAGCTAGTTATTAGACTCCTCTCTCTCTCTCAACCTAATAATCTTCCAACATCTTCACAACTATTCCTTCTCCAGCAGCACTGAATGCTAAGTAATTAAGTAGCAGAACATCCCATTAAGAAGATAAAATGCTCCTGATATAAATGTCTGGATGCGGGGTATGGGCTTAGACCAGCTATCAATGAATACATTATAATTGAAGTAAACGTAGATTTAGAAATATATGACGACAGAAAAGTCTTGCTTCTATCCAATCTACATCTTAAAGAGATGGAAGTATGAGAGACAGACAAACAGCGGAAGTCTCCTTTGCCTCTCAAGCATAGACTCATCTAACTAACAACAGGCTAGGTAGAAACAGACCCAGGGACTGCTGACGTGAGAACCCTTCCCTACATCTGTCTCTTGCCCTTTCCCCCAGTGGTCAAAATGGCTCATAGGTACACAGAGTTGGCCATCATCAAATTCCAAATGAGACACTAGAATTTTAATTGATCCAGCTAGTATTAATCAGGAGGTGAAATTCACATTGCAGCTACTTTTCCAACTTTACATATATGGGAGAGACTAACATGACTGACTAAATCTGAAGTGTGCCTTTTTTAACCGGAAACCACTAACTCCTTACTGAGGCAGCAGAAAAAGGAAGCCAAAAAACCATGGAGAAGCTGGCAGCTGATATGCTCTTTGGATATGATAGTCCTCAAAATGTAAAAGCAGCTGTATCACTATATAAGATTTTAGCTAAAAAGGGTCCCATAAAGGCCAGACTGTACGTGGTTCTTTAATTAACTGTAGCTTTAAATAATTACTAGTCAATTTAAAATGAATAATGAATAATTGAAAAGCAGTAAATGTAGGTACATGGAACAAAGAAATCTCCACTAGGTAGTAAGTAAATAATGAATTCAGTTGACTAATTTGACAAGGGTAGTTGGATGTGTGCATAAAACATACCCACAAATTTATTGACTAATTAAAATGTTAGGGCAAGACTTCAAGCCTAAATCCTCTGAAGATGGTATATAGCTGGAAGTCATTTCCCCAAACTAAATTTACATTTATAAGAATGTTAAAAAGCCAGTTTTACATATTTTTTTTCAAAATGGTAATCAGAGAAGGTGGTTGATTCAATGTATGTGTGAGGATAGAGGACTGGGAGAGGGAATATAGTTCAGGTTGCATAGATTTGGGAGGGATGGAGTTCAGATGGTGATGATTGTAGGGGTGGAGAAAGCTGGAGAGGAGTTGACCTGGAAGACTGCCAGTATGGTAAGACCTCCCAAACCAGTAGAGCCACTGGAGAGAGTTGCTTGACTTCCAGACAGTTGAGATGATAGGAGTGGAGCTTTCAATCTGGAGTAATGGGGTGGCAACAACAACTCTATTACAGTGGCAACCATTGCTAGAGGGTGGCTGACTGCATCTGTGGCAGCTCATTGTTTGTGGGCACTTTTGGAGCTAACTGTTCATCAGTCTCCTCCTCTGACTTCGAATCTGAGCCCACCATGACACTAGAAGTCCTGATAGTGTCTGGGCTACTCTGCTGCCCATCAGGATCTGTCACGGGTATTTGGACCTAGTTGCCAGGCTAGTGGTGGACTCTTCCTGCCCACTAACGTTGAGGGACTTCAACCTCTGCATGAGAGTTTTAGTAAAACCCAGGAGTTTGTAGCCTTCATGACAAACACAGGCTTGTCTCAGGTAATCTCAGAACCAACACACATGTGTGGTCATATATTAGACCTTGCCTTTGTTTTAGAACAGTTGCTATGTAATCTGGATGTTGAAGGTATTATCATCACTCCACTGCCAAGATCAGATCATTTCTAGGTCCAGATGCAGTTAATAGTCACCTGTAATCTGTATATGATCCATCCCAGATGGTTCATGGATTTGGATGGGAGTTTGGGGAGTTTCCTGACAATCTGACAGGCAAATCTGCTGAGGATCTGTTTTGCTTTTGGCAAAATAAGGTGACCTTGGCCCTTGACAAAATCATCCTTGAATGAACTCTCTCTGTCAACTGATCCCGGGTGGCTTCTTGGTTTACTAATAGCCTCCAGAAGATGAAACGACAGAAGCAATACCTAGAACATGTCTGGAGAAAGACCAAAAGTGAATCTGACCAAGCATGGGTACATGCCCACATGTAGGGCTACTCTGTGGTGATCAGAAAGGCAAAGTACTTTTATTTCTCTCTTATTGTGTTGGTGTGTTATGGCCCATTTAGGGTAGCTAATTCCCTATAGTGGTAGAAGATAGCCACATGATCTTGCTTTAAGGAATTTAAGAAATTGCAGAGCTTTATTACATTTGCTCCCCCCCCCTCCACCAACGCAGTCCAAAACACTGTTTTGCCTTTGAAGTGCTGCACAGACATTTTTCAATTTGGCTATATCTGTTTCTTTTCTTACATAGTATCTTAAGAGTTGGAAGGGGTCATTTAGGTCACTAACTGCTAGTCAGTGCAAGAATCCAAATTAAAACATCCCAGACAGATAGCTGCCTCGCTTCTACTAGAACATATATAGTGAAGGGGAGTCCACTATCTCTCTAGGTACTTGGTCCCATGGTCAGATTGTTCTTACTATTAGGAAGCTTTTTCTGAACACTCAATTGGAAACTGCTTTCATGTAATATAGATCCATGATTCCAAGTCATGCCTTCTGGAATGATAGAACAACTAGGATTTTATGCCCCAATTTTCCTGTTGAAAAATAAGAATAAATAGTTGGCTTTGGGGATGGGGGAAGATCTTATGCCTGCTGCTGTTCTCATGTCTTTTGTCTGTAGCAAAATGATTGCTATTTTTATGGTTTTCTTTAGCTTTCTCTTCAACTGGCAAAGCTATTCTTACCTCACTTTCCTTGGCTGCCTTCATATACTACTAAACAGATTGTCTCCTCTTTCAGACCCAACATGATATGAATTAGGATACCAGAGAAATTTAGATGCACCAGATCCCAAATAGTGGTAGGCAAATTGCTTATTCTTCCCCTGCTCAACTTTAGGAAAGAAAGGTGACCTCATTGGTCTTACAAAACCACAGAGGATTTCAAACAGCTTCCTTTTCACAGAGTAATTGTCAATGAGAAAATTAGCATGGATGAGCAAGCCATCATTCATTCACCCACTTAGATGGGTCCTCTGTGATCTGACAGGCCACTCCGTATCTTCTATATTGATCCTGCACTCCTAGTAGGATGCTAACCAGCTATTTAGTGCTACTGCACTGAAATAGGGAGCACTCTCTGCCCAGTTGCAAATACGAATTGATGTGTGCCTAAGATCACTGTAATAGTATTCCTTATCAACAGGAAGATCAAGTGTACATACTCAATTTCAAACTTGCATGTGGTCATCAGAGCCAAACTTTACCCACCCTAGAACTGAGGCCTGATTCATGTTACCTTTGTTACAGTAAAATCACTTGTTGAATTTTATCATTCTGTTTCACTGGAGGAACATCGCACTGAAAAACTCATGTGGTAAGAACAGGCATTTATCACATCCAAACGCAAGAAGAAGGAATCAGTCTTCTCCTTGATATGCCATTTTTTAAATAGTGAAATGTGTATTTTGTATGGAGGAGCATTTAATCAGAAATGATATAACAGAAGTTTACTATGCAAAGACTTTCCCTAAATTTCACCATAGTAAGCTAAGGTAAATATGTCAATTCATTCTTTACCCAGGAATAAATCAGCTAATCATTGCATGAAATTCTCCTGATAAGACCACATCAAAGTAACTTTGTCATATTAAGATTTTAATTTAAGACATTTGTTAACAAATTGGTTGGTAAAAAGCCTTTTGTTGTTGTTTTGGTTCTACAGGCATTAGATTCTTGTCATCAGATGGACCTATATCAGGCAAAGGTAAAAGGAAATGCTCTGTTAAATCTGGTCTAAAATGGCATTTTAAAAATATATTTCTGGCATGATTTTATTTAATTTTTTCTTAGGCACTTGTATATTACACATTTACTAGTATCAGGAGCAATCTTATATCTCAGATGATCATGGTTTGTAAATCAAGTGTTTCAGCTATTTCCAGTTCTAAATTCCTGAATAATAAGCAAAATAATTTTGAATTTTCTTTTTTTTTGAGTTATCATTACTGGCTAGGAATCAATGTTCCAAAGATTTGTGAAGTAGCACTAATTAATTATGTTACAAATTTCAGTGAGTCCTCTTGATGTGTTGAATGTAGCCTTGTTTTAAAATGTATCTATAGTAGTTTAGGTCCTTTATGGAAAAAATGGGGGGAAAACCCATTTTATACAATATAAAAGGGGGAAAAAATTCAAAAGAACCTTGGGTTCCATTTATTCAGAATACAAAGTGGTACTTAAATGCAGTCATCAGTGCCAAAGAAAAATGGAAAGAATCTCAATTCTGAAATGCCCTTCAGCAGAGCAGTTAAAAAACCTTACAAAAACTGAACAGATTCTATCAAGTGCACACCGGTAATTTACATAAAAGTACTTCAGTCTCCACAACCTGCAAAAGGAATTTAGGGATGCTGGCACAGAGTACTTTAGTTCTCTGAGTGTGCAGTGGACAGAAGCCTTCCTCCACATTATAGCGTTAACATACATTGTGTTTTCAGATATATGAATCCTGCTGCTCATGTCCTTGTTCTTTTGGTAATAGTCTAGGGACCTGAAGGTTGCCTTCAAAAGACAGGCTACAATTTGAGGTTCTGCATCTGGCCACACCCAACATTACAACCCTGAAATGCTCATTATAGTGATGGATCCCACTGTTCTGCAGAACAGCATATCTGGCAGTTAATAACAAATGTGTTTGCATTTGTTGAAAGCAGTGGATTAACTGTGAAGTAATAATCAAATCAAAATTGCGTATCCACAAGTGTACTGTTGATCCGGTCCTTCCCCTCCTAGCTTTTGAAATGGGTAGAAGCTCATCTTTCTCCCCAAGCCTCAAGAACCTTCCTGAACACCCATGGCTCAAGATCAGAGATGAAAAAAAGAGACCGGGTTTCTTCCTATGTCGCCAGATCACTGTTTTCTCTCTGCATGAAGTAACTAAGTTCACAGGGCAAGCAGCGGAGAATAAGGGAAAAGGGAAGTGATTTGAGTCCTTCCATTGCATATAGCTTTTTCTACTGAGACGTGAGTGTCAACCTGTATGAGCATCTGCATAACAGGAAACATCAAAAGTGCTACAGAAATTGCACTGTTGTATGAATTCTTCTGCAAGCTCTGTTGCAAGCAATGTAAAACGATGCTTACAGATAAGACAGGTAAAATAGATATTTTTTTCCCTTATCAAGGAGCCACTTGGCTCTGGCTACCCGGAGTATATTAAAAAAGATGGCATCTGTGAAGCTTGATATAATGACGTTCTCTCACCGGCCCCATCTTCCTTCCCCCTCAGGGTAAACAGATATTTTCCATCTACTCAGGATACTTGAGATGGATTGGAGAATTTTGCTTGCACGTGGTAGTGGCAGACGTTAAGATCATAGTATCCATTTCCCCCGTCATGGGCCTTCCGTTTTCTTTTTTCTTTTTTTCATTTTTCTTTTTAATAGTCTGCAATGAATTCAAATGAATAAATAAGGCAAGAAAAAACAAGAATGCAAGATAACGGTGCAGAACAATATATGTCAGTATTCCATCAGAGGTTACATATAGCACTCAATTTATCAGTAGAAGAGATTATTGTTATCCTAACTTATATAATTTTTCCAGATCCAAGTAAAATGTGATTCATCACCTTGGCTAGTCAGTATTCGAGTTTTATCAGTCACTTTTTCCCAAAGAACAATTTTTTTTGCACATCAATTATCCAATGTTACCCAGAAATTCTCAGTTTTGCAGCCAGGAATAAGAATACAATAAGCTCACTTTTGTTTGGTTTAAAGTTATCTCCCTCAAAAATATGTAATAATCCCACGTCTGGCACACATTCTACTTTTTGTTTAGTTATAATTGCATATGAAAAAATGTTTCCTTCTGATTGCAACCCCCTCCAACATTTTGATAAATAACTATAGGCTACTTGTGCTAGTCTAGTTGGAGTTAAATGCCAGTGATGTAATATATTCCACTGCATCTCTTGAGTGGAAGTTGATAGAAAACCACCAGATTTCCAAAATGTTGGCCATTATGTCTCTTCCATTTGTTTCCCTAAATTTGTAACACCTGTTCATTTTCTGTATCCATTGAAGGGAGATTCTGCAGTATCCATATCTTATAAAATATAGTCGCCATTTTGGTAATGTGAGTTACTTTTATTGTTATCAACAGTAGCTAACAAATTAGAAAAAAAAATGAAGATATGCCAGTTGAAAAAGTGAGGCTGATGGAAAGACCAGAAAGTCTGAATTTTAATGAAGAATTCTTGCACTGGGAATTACATCAATACCGTAAGTTTTTGGCTGAAAGGGGAGACACAAAGATACCGGTAAGAGAATTTTCCTCCATTTCTTCCTCTTTGGCCTGCTTCACATAACACCTTAATGTGGTTTTTGAATTAACCCATTTTCTGGATTCCCAAAATACAATTAATCTAATGGCTGGGTTTGCACAATACACTAAGACAGGCAGATATACATATACACATACACAATTAAAATTAATTAATTATAGCATTTTTTGTAAAGATTGCCACTAGGTCTTCAACTGATCTGGGTAAATGTGTTGTGGGAACACATTCTCTATTTATGACAGCATTTTACAATGAATTCTTTATAACCTCCGCTATCCACGAGTTCTATAGATTAGACACATGGCCATAATAGAAAATGTTCTACTATATTTCAAAACATTTGTAGAAGACTAGCCATGTTTATCTGTTGCAGAAAAAAGAAAAAGGAAAAAAAGGAAGAGATGTCTTCTACACCATAAAGATTATCACAGACCTTACGATTACCATCATATTGCAGCATTCAATTCATTTCATCATATGTGGGAAATGCTGTTGTTTATTTCAGGCTTATTTACATACTATTGGCAGCAGGAATAGAGGGTCAGGTGGAGAATGAAATGTGTAGGGTACAGAAAATAATAATTGATTGAATTACTGCTATATTCAAAGTTGTTGGGTGATAATATAGATATTTTTGCAGGGCAACCTGATAAAAAGTCTTCATTTTATCACACTACACAGAACGTTTTCACACACTTTCTGGAAATCTTTCTCTGATATTTCTTCATTCATACATAGTTACTTTAACATAGTGACAGTGCTCTAGGACAGTGAAATATTCCCCCCCACACACTTTTTTTTTTTTAATATTCCCTTTTCTGATGTCAGATTTTCTCTTGGGTAGCCAAGACTGCTTGACCTGCAATAGGGGACTGTTGGAAAAATCAGATACATATTGCATTAGAAAATGAGCTGGAATATTAACATTTTTAAGTCCTGTAATAATATTGCTAAAATAGGAGGGCTGGCTGATTCTACATCTCCAGCAGAGTCTGATTCAACAGTCTTTACAGCTGTGATGTGCTCTTGTATTATGTTTAAGGTTTGGTGGCTATATGCAAGCAATAATAACCCTAACTCCCTGCCCGCACCATATAAGTTGTAGTTAATATGTTCAAGCAGTTTTAGTTGGGAATTGTTGGTAACAATTAGTGGGGTTCTGTTATTTTATTTGCTGGGTTTGTCCTATAGTGGATTCTTCCTCAGTATCAGTATATCTGGTCCTTTTCTTTTTTCTTTTTTACTTCCTTGGCTGGTAATATAGTGTGAGAAATGCCTTCTTAAAGTGGGAGATTCTGTATCATAGCCTGAATAGAAAAAAAAATAGAGAGAGACCGAATTTGAGAAACTATTTTTGAACTGCAACTTCTAGGTCCCTTCACCAGTGACCATGTTGGCTCAGACTCAGACTCTGTTGGGAGTTGTAGTTCAGGAACATGTTGAAGAACTATGGTTACCCATCTCTGTTACTGAAATGGTGTAGTAGGTGTAATATGATAGTGGATTTCCATTACACAGTTGCACAACTGGGACTAGAAGATACATATGCTGCATGGACTGATCTAGGTTTAGCCTGAAGTTGGCAAAAGTTAAGTACTGGTGGAATTTCACTAAGTAAATATAACAAATCTTTAAGAGGTCATAGGATTCTTTGTCAAATATTTGTTTTTCCCTAGCGAAGGCAACACTGAAATATATTGAAAACTACCTTATAATATTGTGAGCCACTTAATAATGTTAAAATATATTATTTGTATAACTTCCTTTCCCAGTTGTTTCATAGCTGCTCCAAAGGATGGGACGGTGCTAGTAAGAAAAGGTACCTATCAGTTCTATGCAGGAAAGGTTTCTATTAACAAACTAGAAAGATTCTTGGAATTTGAGCCTGGTGAAAAAATTTAGGAGGGCATAGTAAGTGTATTCTGAGAGCAGTTTTGTTGTTTGGTTAATACATGCCTTGTGAAGTCTTATACAGAGATAGATACCAACAGTCTAATCTACTGGATTATGACAGCATTATTACTTACAATATTGTAGTTGTTCAGTCATTTCCAACTCTTTGTGACCCAATGAACAACAGTTCACCAGAACTTTACTGTCTGTTAGTAAAGTTTTCTTTGAGGTGTAATCTTGTGCTCATGATATTAATGACAGTGTCTAACCATCCTGTCCACTGATGGCTTCCTTTTCTGTTGCCTTTGATTTTACTACGCATGAGGGTCCTCTCCAAAGTTTTTTGCTTTATGATTCCAAAATATTTAAACTTTAGCTTCATTATTATTAATGTAGCCAGTGAACCATCTGGATTTATTTAATCTAGTACTTAATTATTTGCTCTTCTTACTGCCCAAGGTATTCTCAACAGTTTTCTTCATCATGACTATTCAAAGGTATCCTTTTTTCTTTGTTCAGCCTTTTGATGGTCCTACTTTCATAGCTGCACCAAATGACTGGGAAGACTCTGGCCTTGACAAAACATACCATTAATATTTTGTTTAGGTTTGTCACAGGCGTTGTTCTGAAAAATAGGTATTGCTTTATTTTATAGTTACAATCACCATTCCTGTGGACTTTTGAGCCAGAAAGATAAATTCTGTTGCTACTTCTACTTCTTTACCCATTGGGATTGGATTGGCATTAGAAGTTGACATAATTTTGAAAATTATATTATTAACAGGGGAAATAAGTGCAATCGTTTAGTAATTTGAGCATTCTTTGAGCTGGTATTGAGTGATAAACTTATCTTTTCCAGTCACTGTTGTGCTTTCTATGCCTGCTAACAAATGACAACAGCACTACGAAGACCATCTTTCAAGAGTTTAAACAATTCTGCTGGTATTTCATCAATGTCTGCAGCTTTGTGATTAGCAGTATTTTCTACAGCCCGTTTAACTTTCCAAAATGTCTGGTTCTAGCTCAGGGGGCATACCTTCATACGTATTTGTGATTTTGGTTTCTTTTTTGTATTGAACATGTATTTGAAATTTCTTTATATTTTATTTCTCCATTGATATTTTTTGCTTTAGGGTTTGTATCCCGACATTGACTTTAGCACTCATTTGCTAATAATGATGGCCACTCCATTTATCCCAGAATCATATCCTGGTTATGAATATCCATTTAGTTGCCTTGGCATTAAACTGGAGTGGGTTGCTATTTGCTTCTCCAGGGATCATATTTAATTTGACCCTTTGTCTGTGACCTGCCCATTATAGGTAATTCTTCTGGAATAAGCATTTCTAATGGTGAAGTTCAGTGTTTCTCAACCTTGACAACTTTAAGATGTGTGGACTTCAACACTGGTATAGTTCATACTGTCATTGGACTGTGCAAAGCCCTTCAAACTCTACAAGGTAATGATCCATGAAGGAGATTACTTAGTATAAATGCAGGATATAATTGCTGTGGAGACATACAGTTCTCCAATCCAGTCTTATCCTTTTGCTATTATGTGTAGTTTATTTACTTTGCGTACCAACAATTCATTTTTTCCAGGTATATCTTGGACAGCTGCATCTTGTGGGAAGAAGAGGACTAGAAAGAGATCATTCTGTATATATGCTCAGATTTCAGGGATGAACACTGTTCCACTAACATTTCTTAATATGTACATTCTCAATTTTGAACATGTTTAAAAAGATGCTGTTTTTTTAAACCCAGTATCCTACCGTTGGATTATAATTCCCAGCCAAAGGCCTTCCTGGCTGAACATTTTAATGGGTTGTAGTTGGAATGCAGGAAACACACATACAGTTTCTTTTAGGAATCTGTTCCCTTCTTTTTAAAGTCTTGTGTGTTCCAAATGCAATTGAGAAGGTTGATGCTAAAGCTTTTTCAGATGGAGAAATGCTAGCAACATGGGAGTTTTTTCAGCAAATGAAGATTTCATAAAGAGGCTGCATTCTCTGAGTGGAATAAACTGAGTAAACTTTGAGTTCTCTTTTAAATCCTACCTCAGATTTAAATATTTTCAGAAAATGACTGTAAACATTGAGCTTTTGTTTTTCCAATGTATTTAAAGTAAATTGAGAATTTGAATTATTTCAAATTCAATTCAGTTTTAGGAAACTGGATTCCCTAAAATTGGGAGAAAACAAAGCAAAACCCCAAGGCTCTTAATTTCACAATCAGGTCCAGAGGCATTAGCAGCATGTAAAACCTCTGAATTATTGTCAGTTTCAGAATCAGTTTGGGGTTATTCTGAGTCTTCAGTATTTTTGGTAAACAATTAAAAACTACTGCTTGAGAAGATACATTGTTTTCAAGAACTTTTTAGTTTTGTTTTTTAGTTTCTCATTTTTTTTCCTTTTTTCCCCTCTCTTTTTGTATACAAAAGTAAATAAAAAAATTCTAAAAATCCAGATTCGGAAAAATGTTATATAAATGCTAACTTTCCCTTCCTATTTTTCTTCAGAAAGCTTTCTACTGCTTTCTAACAGCAGCAAATGCAGGGAATGCAAATGGGATGGCATTCCTTGGAAAGGTACATAATTTGTTTCCTGAGATTAATTTGGGCCATATTCTTTTCTAGTCCCTTCCTATAAATAAAATTAGGTCAGTTACAAAATACAGAAAAATCCAAAGGAACAGCACGTAACAGTTTCTTTGGGAATTTTCACTAAGGTATTATATATCCATCAGCTAAACAGTGTCCTTTTAATATATGCAGATGTATTTAGAAGGAAGTACTGTTGTGACTCACAGTAATAATATAGCTTTGAAGTTCTTCAGAATGGCAGCAGATAAATTAATGTATTAGTTTTTAAAGATTTTTCTTTCTTGTACTTTGCATGGATTTCAAGGAACTTGCAGAAATGTTCATATAATTTAGCTAGAGTCTTGCAT